TCTTTAATGTATACGTTTATTGATTTTAGAGAGAGAGGGAGAGAGAGACAGAAACATCAATGATGAGAGAGAATCACTGATCGGCTGCCTCCTGCATGCGCCACACTGGGGATCGAGCCTGCAACCCGGGCACGTGCCCTGACCGGGAATGGAAATGTGACCGTTTGGTTCACAGGTGGATGCTCAACCACTGAGCCACACCAGCTGGGCCAACTTTATTGTTGCTTTTTCTTAAGTGAAGCAGTATGTTTAATGTAAAATATTTTTAGCTCATCACACACACTTTCCCTGACTGACAAACTCGGCGGATGCATGTGTGATGAGTTGCTGGGCTCACTGGGCCAGCTCTCGGCGCCTCCCCGGTCCCAGGCTGGGCACTGGTCACTGCCCTGCAGCCGGACCTGAGGGGACACAGCGTCCAGGAAGCGGCTACTTTATTGGCCTTGAAGGCTCGCCTTCCTGCCTGGATCTGGAGCAGGGGCCCCGGACGTGCATTTCCACGGAAAGTGGACAGGAGGAGGCCGTCTGCACACGGGTGGCTCTGAGCTCAGGTGCCCCGGTCCAGGCCCATGGGGTGGTTTCCGTGGTGACGGAGGTACTGAGGTCCTGAGAGGTTTTAACCTGGGGAGTGCAAGTTCCCTGTAAATCTGAAGTTATCCCAGATAATAAAAGGCTAATATGCAAATTGACCAAACAGCAGAACTACTGGTCGCTCAACGCAGGAGCTGCCCCTGGTGGTCAGTGAGCGCCCACAGGGGGAGCGCCACTCAGCCATAAGCCAGTCTCATGGCTGGGGAGCGCAGCGGGGATGGCAGGAGCCTCTCCCGCCCCCGAGGCAGCACTAAGGATGTCCGCCAAGGGGTCCCGGACTGTGAGAGGGCACAGGCTCGGCTGAGGGACCTGCGCCCCGCCCCCCCAGTGCACAAACGTTATGCACTGGGCCTCTAGTTTCAAAATAAAAAGAAAAGTTAACATTTCCAAATGCTTGAACATGTTTCCTGTTTAAACCTGGAAGCGAGCTGGCACTCATCCCCGCTCTTCCTCCCGGGCAGTGGCGGGCGCACCCCCAGCCGCCGCCTCCTGTGCGTGTTTTGCAGACAGAGTCCACGTGGGGCCCGGGCAGCTGTACCAGGACCTGCAGAACCTGCTCCATGACCTCAACGTGGTGGGGCAGATCGCGCAGCTCGTCGGGGACCTGCGGGGGCACTACCAGGTGAGGCCGGCCACCGGCCCTGGGCTCTGTCTGCCTCCGGCTGGAGCCGGTCGGCCCGGGTTCGCGGGTGGTACCAGACGAGGTTGCGGTGAGACCCGAGCGGGTCGTGTCTGCCCTGGTTTGGGGGGAGGGGAGGGGGGACAGCGTCCCTTTGCAGACCCCAGGGGTGAGTTGTCATGGAAACGCTCAGCACCACCACTCGGCCGCCTCCCAGGCTCTCTTCCTCGTTGTCGGACCCCAGGTTTTCATGTGACAGCCTTGCTCTCCCCCAGCCTCCCAACCCCTCGCATGGTCCCCTCTCACTCACTTTAGAAGGCGCTGTGTCTCGCCCCAAGCCTCCCACCCCAGCCTCTCCTCAGCGAAGGGGAATAAGCCCGTCAGAGAAAGACCAGTGTCGCACGATCTCACTCATACATGGAGTCTAATGAACCCAATGAACTGATGAACAGAAAACATCCATGTCCTGGCTGGTGTGGCTCAGTGGATAGAGCGTCGGCCTGCGGACTGAAGGGTCCCGGGTTCGATTCTGGTCAAGGGCACATGCCTGGGTTGTGGGCTCAATCCCCAGTAGAGGGCGTGCAGGAGGCAGCCAATCAATGATTCTCTCTCATCATTGATGTTTCAGTCTCTCTCTCCCTCTCCCATCCTCTCTGTCATCAATAAAAATATATTTAAAAAATATACCCAGAGATGCATGGAACAGGCTGTGAATCTCAGAGGAAAGGCAGGAGGTTGGGTGGGGAGAGAGCAACAAAGACCTGGTGTGCACATAGGTATAGCCCACAGGCACAGAGGATGGGGTGCCTAGAACCTGAACCAGGCCGTGGCCCACGACTGGGCGTCCGGGCTGCAGAGGCTGGTCCTGCGGAAGGAGGAGGAGATCCGCGCGGCCGACTGCTGCCGGCTCCAGCTGCAGCTCCCGGGCAAGCAGGACAAGTGAGTGTCACCCCGCTGCCCGAGGATGGGCACGGGGAGGGCCATGCGGGACGGGCACGGGACCCGCGGTGCTGAGGCCCTGAGACCTGAGCCCTCCGTCCCCGCAGGTCCGGGCGGCCCACCTTCTTCACGGCCGTGTTCAGCACCTTCACGCCCGCCTGCAAGGAGTCCTGGCTCAGCAGCCTGCAGATGGCCAAGCTCGCCCTGGGTAAGGCGTGTCCCCTAAGCGAGGCGTGTCCCTAGATGAGGTGTGTCCCTAGATGAGGGGTGTCCCTCGACGAGGCGTGTCCCTCGAAGAGGCATGTCCCCTAGATGAAGCATGTCCCTAGATGAGGGGTGTCCGTAGACGAGGCGTGTCTCTAGACGAGGCGTGTCCCCTAGACCAAGGGTCCAAGCTCCCTGCTTCAGACGAAATAGGTGCCCGAGAGACAGTCGGGGGGTGGGGGGCAGGGGAGGAGACCCTGACCATGACCGTTCATCCCCCTGAGAATGGCTCTTGTTTTGTTTTTTAAAGATATGTTTTCACTGATTCCAGAGAGGAAGGGAGGGGGAGAGAGAGAGAGAGAGAGAGAGAGAGAGATCAATGATGAGAGAATCATGGATCGGCTGCCTCCTGCATGCCCCCTACTGGAGATGGAGCCCACAACCTGGGCTTGTGCCCTGACCAGGAATCGAACCGTGACCTCCTGGTTCATAGGTCGACACTCACCCACTGAGCCACACCGGCCGGGCCCCCTAAGCATGTTTTTAAGCGGAAGCTCATCCAGAGGAGGCATTGATGGAGCCTGTGGTGGAGGGAGCGTAGGGAGAAAGCCCTCACGGCTCTAATGCAGCGGTCGTGTCCGCTGAGACTGTTCACCCGTGCTCCAGCCCCGAGCCAGGAGCCCGGCCCTGGGTCCCGCGGGGGCTGGGTCCCGCCCAGTCTGGGTCCCGCCTAGTCTGGGTCCATGGGGTCTGGGTCCCGCTCAGTCTGGGTCCTGTGGGGGCTGGGTCCCGCCCAGTCTGGGTCCCGTGGCAGGACCCAGGGCTTGGCTCTGCCGCTGCTCCGTCGCCCTCCCCTGTGAGCTGGAACGCAGGTGGGACGGCCTCTCCAGCACTTCTCTCGCAGCGTCCCGCAGGCAGCCTTGCCTCTTGGACACCCCCGGGGGGAGGGGGGGCGGGGGGCACAAGCCGCTTACTGCTGTGAGTGCGAAACACAGTTTATCCTTGTGATGAGTTACTGCATCGTTTCCCACGCGGACAGCAGTAGCCGACCTTTGCCCGCCCTGTGTGTGAAACTGAGATGTAGTGACGTGTATTCTTATGTGATTCACACGCAGGGCAGGCGGCTGCTACTCAGAGCAGGGGGGTGGGTGCAGGTGTAGAATTCTGTCAGATACAGTCACACCCTGATAGGAAGCCATTATCTGAAGATAAAGGACAGCAGGGCCGTGGCCGTGGCCGT